CCGCGGGCTGGGAGGGACGCGGAAGCCACCCCGCGCCTTCCGCGCCGCCCCGGGGACCCGCCAGGGAGGTCAAGGGCTCCCCTGATCAAGGAGTTTCCAGAATAGTGCGCCCTAAAAGGCTGAAAGGCCTGGTGACTCCCTAACATCCCTCCCCCCTTATTGTCCTGCCTCTTTTGGGGGCGAAGGATTCAGGAACAATGAGAGAATGCCTCTCCCCTGGCTGGAATCCCTCCAGGGGCCCCCTCCCCCAACCTTTCCAGACCCTCATGGCTCTGAGTGCTCCCTCAGCTTCTTCCTGCCTTCCCAAGGCCGGTCTGGCTGCTCCTGGCGGAGGTCTCCCTCAAGCCCTGACCCCTACCCCCCATCGGACTCCTACTGGGCCCCCTGCATGTCACCCTCCTGTTTCAGGTAGGCCCCCTGAAGCCAGCCACCTCAACCCAAGCCCCCTCACCTGCTGCCCCTCGGGGCCCACACATAATAGGGGGCGCAGGGCCGAAGGGTCCAGCACAGGCAGGGGAGCCACAGAAGGTGGGACCAACAGGTGCTTGTAGGCGACAGTGGTGTCCATCCCAGCTGGGGGCTCCCTAGGCAGGCCCCTCGCTTCCTCTCCTGCCGACCTCAGTCCTAGGATGACCTGGAACCAGAGAGTCAGTGCTCGGAATGGCTCCAGGGGACCTGCCCAGCACCACCCAGGGAAGTCGTAGCCCCTGGGACCTTGGGAGCCAGGGCTGGTGTCCTGGACGGAGCCCCACACCAGGCTGGAAAGGCCTGGGTGCAGTGTCTGTGGTCTTCAGCCCTCGACCCCTTCCTGTCTAAAAATGGGGTGCACGGAGCCTGGGGCTGGCAGAGTAAACCCTCGATCTATACCCAGGTGTGTGTCACAACCTGCACATGTTTGCCACACTGGACAGAAGCGCATCCCCAGTGTTGGGTGGACAGTCGAGGCCCCCCAGTCAGAGCACTGAGAAACGGGCCCTCGTAAGGGTGGTGCCCGGTGGCCAGCACCCCCTCGGACTCCGCTGCATGAAGTTGAATTGGTGTGGCCGGGCTGAGGTGGGGCCGTGGTTCGGTGGCTGGGGCAGGCCGACCCACAGGAGTGGCCAAGCGGCAGGACTGCAGGCGGACAGAGGGCCTGGGAGGGGGCCTGTGCGTACCGGGGTCTCTGCGGGCAGCTCCTGGGGCCGCGGCTCCTCGGCCCGCTCCTCGGCCCGGGGCGGGTCCTGCTGGGCTCCTCCCTGGACACAGCTGGAGCACCTCCAGGTCCCACTGCGTGTGCCGTCGCCAGCCAGAAGCATGCAGGGCAAAGCAGAGGGGACAGCGGATCCCCGACCCATGACGCGGAGAGGCCCGAGGGCTCCTCCTGGTCACCCTTTCTTTTACAGATGGAGAAATCGAGGCTCAGACAGGAAGCGGGCAGAGCCACAGTGGGCAGGCCTGCCTGGCCACGCAGCAGGAGAGCCCAGAATGCCTGATATTTACTCCTGGTGCATGGCCCTGGCCGCTGAGGTCAGTGTCCCAGAGTCCTCTGATGAGCCTCAAGAGTGTCTGACAGCCACACCTGCAGTGGCCTGTGCTTGGTTGGCACAAGCCTGCAGCCAGGGCCTTGCTGGGCTGGGGTGCTTATGCCCAGGGGCCTGGCCATGGTCCACAGGGGGAGGGTGCCCAGCAGCAAGGAGGCGGTCAAGGGCAAGGAGGAAGGGAGGAGGACGGGGCAAGGGGGGCGATGGCTGAGCCTTGGGTCACGGCCGCAGCCCCTGAGGCTCAGAGAGACGTGACCGGGCGAGGTCGCCCAGCAGGCGGGGCAGCACTGAACCCCCACGCCCTCTTCTGAGCCCCGTGACCCGCGGGCGCTGGTGGGGGACAGAGCTCTCCCGGTGGGCCAGGGGAGGGGATGCCGGGAGGTGGACCGCCCTCGAGTGCAGCTCCGCGTCTCTGTGCACCCCAACTCCGACCTAGAGGTGGGCTGTGCTTGGGGTGCGGGGTCGGCTGCTCGTGGGAGTTTGGCCGGAATGTGGGGTGAGATGGGGCAGGCTGGCCACGCTTTGCCTTGGGCCTCCATTCCCCTTTGCCGCCCTCAGGGCCCTGCTGGCCAGGCTGGGAGGGTGGTGTGGCCACGCAGGCAGGGCGGTGCCGTGGATGGAGCCGGGCTCCGCCCCCGGCCCAGTGAGCTGAACCAGCAGCGCCCCCCCACCCACCCCGTAGGCGGCCTCTGCTCAGGGTCAGTGGGTGGAGGCGGCCATGCAGCGGGTGGGGGCAGGTGGGTGCTGTGGAGGCAGGGGCGAGGGGTGCCAGCCTCACCTGGGGACCTCCCGGAGCGGGGGGGACAGGCAAGCCAGGTGGAAGGCGCGGGGGCAGCCGTCACAGCAGATGAGCTCCCCGCCGTCCCGGCACACCGCACACTCGTCCTCGTTCTTCTGCGGCATGGAGAGGCCTGTCTCGGGGAGTTGGGGATGGGACGCCCCCACCCAGAGCCCCCACATGGCTCCGCCGCAGGGGCCCCCAGGGGCCCCCAGGTCCCCTGGCCTGCTCCCCCGCTGGCCGACGCCTGCTCCCAGGACCCCCAAGGCCCCTTCCATCCTCTGAGACTCTGGTCCCACACACCCCCCGGGGCCACCCTGTGCTCCAGCCGGCCCCGAGACTGCACGGCCACCTCCATGCCCCTTCCTCGCAGGCAACAGAGTGCAGGCCCGTCGGCCCCGGGCACACGCTGTCCCCTTCGCCCAAGGCCTCCCTCCTGCTTGTGCCCTTGCCTGTATGGCACCCACCATGCCCTCCGGGGCCCCACCTCCTCCAGATGCCCCCAGACTGCCAGGCTGGGCACCCTGCATGGCAATAAGCACTCCTCGCGACAACTGCCCTGGACCCTTCTCCAGCCAGTGGCAGGTGTGGTCAGTGTCGGGATCTGTGACTAGCTCTGACTCATTGAGGCCCAGTATGAGCTTGACACTCTGGGTCCAGGATCCCAGCAGAGGCCACCACCCCACCCACGGGCCGACTGTGAGACGAGGGGCAGCTGGCACCCGGGCCTAACGCCACGGCTTTAAAGACCCAGGATGGCTCACTGTCTCTGACTCGCTTGAATTTTTACGGTTGTGAGTTATCAGAAATAGATCCTACTGGGGGAAAAGAGCCCTGCCCTGCGAACCAGAGCTCGGGCCCTGTCCTAGTCACCGCTGCGAGTGCCCTGCGCACGTGGCAAAGGGGCGGGACCGCCTGCGGGGTCGTGGGGCTAAGCGGCACCCCTGTGGTCTGGCGTTACCTGGTGGAGCTGGGGCTCGCTGGGGAGGGTAGGAGGGGCCGGGCCCCTGCCCTGCTGGCCTGCCCTCGAGTCCCCTCCAGCCTGCGAGGGAGAAGAGAGAGTCACAGACAGGAGGAGCAGCCTGGGCAGCGACACCCCCCAGCCCAGCAGAGATCCTGGCCCGGAGGTGACGCTGCTGCCACTGTGTGTGCTGGAGGTGTGTGTGGGCTGGGGGTGCCAAGGGGCCTCCCCAGGGGTGGCTGGGGCAGTGACCTGGGTCCCCTTGGCTCGGACCAGGGTCTTCAGGCCACCACCGCTGCGGGCCTTAATCTTCCCCGCGCCGGGGTCCTCAAACTTGCTGGGAGTGTAGACTCCCCCGACCTGGATGCACTTCTGGGCACCACCTGGGAGGAGATGCTGAGTGGCCGGGCCGCCTGCCCAGCTGGCCCTGCCCAGCCACACTGCAGGCCCCGGGCTAGTGGCGGGCAGGTGGCAGAGAGGCTAGGTGCCCTGAGCTGGATGCTCCTTCCCCCCACACGCCCCCAGTCAGGTCGGGGGCCAGGGTCCTGGGCACAGGAGTGTTCTGTGCTGGGGCATGTACTGGCTGAAGCGCATCCCCAAGTTCGCGACACCGAGAATCTCAGAATGGAAGCTTATTTGCAAGTAGGGTCTTTGTAATTTGTTGCGATGGGTTCACAGTGGACCCTGCGTCCTATGGCTGGTATCCTCATGAAGAGAGAGGACAGAGAGGGAGGAGGCCCTGTGGCGTTGGAGGCAGAGGCCGGAGTGACGTGACTGTGAGCCGGGCTGCGTGGGTGCCGGCAGCCACCAGGACCTGGGAGACGCCTGCACTCCAGCCTCTCGAGGGAGTGCGGCTTTGCCGACACCTCGTTTTTGGAATTTCTGTTACTTTAAGCCACCCAGTTAGTGGCAATTTGTCATAACAGCCCAGGGAACTACTGCGGGTTCCTCGGGCCCGGCCCCAGTGAGAGGCCAGGGCCCGCAGCAGCTCCCGGGGCCAGCAGTCTGCCGTCCTCAGCGAAGCCAGCCAGTGCCCAGCACCGAAGGTGGACGAAGGAATGGGTACGGGCCAGTGAGAGGCCAGGGCCCGCAGCAGCTCCCGGGGGCCAGCAGTCTGCCGTCCTCAGCAAAGCCAGCCAGTGCCCAGCACAGAAGGTGGAGGAAGGAATGGGTACGGGGGAGGGATGCCGCAGGTCCTACCGAGAGAGCCCCCCCCGGCCGCCCAGGGAGTGGGCACCTTCTGAGGATGTGAGCCTGTGACCAAGGAGGGGCCCAGCCAAGTGGGCGGAGGTGGTCCGGGACGGGGACCTGGACTGCCAGCCTGTTGCAAGCCCCCAGGTCCGCGTGCCTACGAGTCCCAGCCCCCTTGGGGAGCCCTCAGTGCCCCTGGCCCTCCAGAGCCGGCAGAACCATTCGGGGACGCTGTCTGCCCCGTGCACAGTCTGGTCTGCTCTGGAGCCACCAGAGGCCCAGGGGACGTAGACTCGGCATCTGTGCGTCTACCTGACTCAAACACCTGCTGGATGAGGATACCCTCCACGGCCCCGCGGGCTCCTGGGATGTCCCCCGAGGACACGGCCACGGCTCTCTGCACTGACGCGGACATGGTCTGAATCCCTGGGGAAGGTGGCACGAGATGCGGGTCATGGGTCGGGAAGATGGCCCCCGAGCGCTCCTGCACCCGGGGGGCGGGGCCTGAGAGGCACCAGGGCGGGCAAGGAGGGGGCCTGGCCCTCCACACACAGAAGGACAGACAGACAGCTCACACGTCAGAGCAGACAGGCTGTAAGTGTAGAGTACGTGTGAGCGTGTGTGTGAGCGTGTGTGAACGTGTGTGAGTGTGTGTATGAGTGTGTGTGAGCACGTGTGAGCGCGTGTGTTGCGTGTGTGTGAGGGCGTAGCGTGTGTGTGAGCGTGTGTGAACGTGTGTGAGTGCGTGTATGAGTGTGTGTGAGCATGTGTGAGCATGTGGGAGCACGTGTGTTGCGTGTGTGTGAGGGCGTGTGTGAGGGCGTGTGAGTGTGTGAAGGCGTGTATGTGCGTGTGCGTGTGAACGTGTGAGTGTGGGCAGGAAGGAATAAGGACTCCGGGACATGGGCCGGGCTGTGCTTGCTGGAGCAGAGTACCCAGGACCCGCCTTAGGTCAGCAGCGAGAGACCCCAGGAGGCCTCTGGGGCCCTGTGTCCTGGGGCAGGGAGGGGACCAAGGAGGCGTCTCTGGAGGAAGCAGTCGAGCTGACCCTGGAGGGGTGTCCGAGGCATGCCCTCTTCCCCGTGTGGCTGTGGAGTGGGACGTGGTCCCAGGACTGGCCCGCAGAGGGCAGGCCCCAGCCGGACCCCTGACCCTGGCCCGGGGCCTCTCACCGTTGCCCAGCAGGCGGCGCTGCGGCTCCGAGGTGCTCTCTGGCTTCTTGGGGGGCTTGGCCTTCACTTGGGGGCCTGTAGGGGGCGCTGCGGCAGCCGGCCCTCTCCCTGCCAGGGCCAGTTAGACCGCAAGGTGGAGAGTACGGGTGTCCCCCCAACTCCCGTGGGCGCCCTCGTTCTATCAGGCTCCGGTGTCCGCATCAGCGAGAAGGAAGAGACACCCATGTGGCTACTCGCGGGCCTGGGGTCACATTCGGTGTGTCCACTAAACACCCAGGGGACCTCTGCTGCCCTGCCAGGCTGGTTCTGGCTGATCAGGTGGGACAGAAGCTCCCGGAGCCAGCCGGGGAGGGGCGTGGCAGGCGGGGGTGCTGGGGGAGCGGCAGGCTCCCAAGGGGGCATCTGAGACCCAGCAGCTCCTTAACCTGCATACCTGGGCTGGAGGTGCCCCTTGGGGACAGGGCTGCTGGTGGCGTGGTCCGGGACTCCTCTGGGACCTTTCTCTTGGTGGGGGGTCTGGGCAGGGACACAGCGGCCTTGGGCCCAGCGGGGGGCTTTCGCCCCTTCCGGGGCTGACTGAGGTCCACATCTGCAGGGCGCAAGGAGCCGGCCTGGCCTCCAGCCCAGAGCTGATGCCCAGGCCAGGTGGGCGAGGCCTGGGCCTTGACCTTGCAGAACGCGAGACGGTCCTGGGTGATGTCCGGGGGCTCCCTAGACCCCCCACATGCACACCCCTCCCCTCGTCTGTTCCCGCTGCGCCCCAGCCCCCAGCCCAACGCCCCACCTCTGGGGAAGCTGTCCAGGACGGGCTGCAGCCGCGCGTATCTCTCCAGGTTGTAGTCCTTAAAGAGGACCCTCCAGAAGGCCAGGATGGCCCCCGCGTCTTGGGTCAGGAGCCACGAGAGCAGCGCGTGGAAAGCCTGCGGGCAGCCCTCCTTCTCCTTCAGACGCAGGGTCTCCTGAGGCCAGAGCAGGGAGTGGGGCCTGAGCCCCCTCAGTGCCCGCTTCCCGCCGCCGCCACCGGGGACTAGAGGGCGGATGCCGACACAGCGAAGGCTGCTGATGGCCTGGGCGCCGTGTCCATCCCTTGGCTTGGGGCAGGTGTGGGGATGGCGTGGGGGTGTTGGGGTGAGGGCGGCTCCCTTGGAACCCGTCTTAGGGAACCGTGGCCCTGGCTTGGACGTAGGCTTGGGGTGGCTTGGGAGAGGGCATTGGGACCTGGGTTGGAGGCGCACCTGGGCCGTGTCTCGGACACCCTCAGCTGGTGGCTGGGACGTGAAGAGGGCTGGGCACGGGGAGCAGGGGCCCCCCCAGCCTGTCCGGGCGAAGTCCCCCTGGCTCATGGGCGGGGCGTTGGGGGCGGGAGAGTCGGGAGGGGAGGAGCGCGGGCGGGTCCGGCCGGAACTCGCTTCCCCAACGCCAATCCCGGCTCTTTGGCTGCGCGCAGGGAGCGCCAAGGGCGGCGGGGTCTGGGCTGGGGCCCACCTGGAACTTGTCCTCGGGGACCACGTCGTGATCGGCCAGCGCGTGCAGCAGCGGGAAGGCGCTGTCCACAGCCACGGCGATCTCGGTGCG